TAATGTAAATTTTGGAGAAGATAAATTATTTGGGATAATTAGAAAATTCCAGAAGAAGTTGGTGGCAAAGGAAATTAACAGAAATGTAGCGGGGCCAGCGCTGTGACAGAGCGGACAAGGCCTCGCCTGTGGTGCTGGCATCTCATATGGGCGCCTGGTTCAGGCCAGCTACTCCACTTCCGGTCCTGCTCCCTGATAATGTACCCGGGAAAGCAGTGAAAGACGGCCTAAGTGTTTGGCCCCAGTGCCCATGTGGAAGACCCAGGTGAAGCTCCTGGCTCCTGGGTTTGGGCCGGCCCAGCCCCAGTTCTTGAGGCCCTTTGCGGAGTGAACAAGCAAATGAACGATATTCTCCCTCTCATTCTCTATCTCTGGCTCTCTCTCTTCCCCCACCCCTCCCTTGCCCTCTCTTTTACTCTGCCTTTCATATAATTAAAAAATATTTAAAAATTAGAAATGTAGCAATCTATCAATAGCTAATGATTCTCTACTCGTGTCCTCTACAGAAGCTTCAAGCAGAGCAAGCAAGCACACTCATATTGTAATATTTTTCTTTCAGTTTGTTCACTTTTTACCCTGGCAGTAAACAGTAGGAAATTTTCCTAATCCTTGTGTTACGGACTCTAATTTTTTCTTAAGCAACCCAATCAAATTAAGCCTTGGTATTAATCAGAACCACACTGCAAGAGTTTTACTCTTCATTTACTGTAGTGGCCAACATACACTAATCCAATCAACAAACCACGTTTGTCCTAAATAATCAGATTATCTTTTCAGTAAGTTTCTAGAAATTGGTAAAAGAAAGACTTTTCTGAAAAGTGAGGTTTTTTTCTCAGATTGTCAACTACATTAGCAATAAGAAAAAATATACGCTTCTGTCTCTTCAACATTTAAATAAAATCATATTCCTATCTTCTAAAACCTTATATATGTTCATTGACAATAATAAATAACCCACGGTAACAATGTAGTCTAGAAAAATAAAATGGACTTGAGTCTACTGTTCTAGGAATTAAGCAGCTATTAAAGTTATCAAGTAAGTTTCCATTTCTTTGTTCTATAATTTGCTTTTGAAGCAAAATTTTTCATATTTTCTTAGATGCAAAATTTTTTATAAATAACTGTAGTAAATAATTAAATGACTTTTTTTTTTTTTTTTTTGGACAGGAGAGTTAGACAGTGAGAGAGAGAAACAGCGAGAAAGGTCTTCCTTTCATCCCCCAAATGGCCGCTATGGCCGCGCACTGCACCCATCCGAAGCCAGGAGCCAGGTGCTTCCTTCTGGTCTCCCATGTGGGTGCAGGGGCCCAAGCACTTGGGCCATCCTCCACTGCCTTCCTTGGCCACAGCAAAGAGCTGGACTGGAAGAGGAGCAACTGGGACTAGAACCTGGAGCCCATATGGGATGCCGGTGCCGCAGGCAGAGGATTAACCAAGTGAGCCATGGGTCCAGCCCCTTAAATGACTTGTTTTGTTCAACCTTATTTACTTATTTCCATGTTTCATCAATCTTTTTTGTTGTAAATTCATTCAAATTTTATACTTCTTATCACATTTACCATTAAATAAATCTTGTGAAATGGATTGATTTTTCCTTGACAGCCTTTCTTGTTCATGCAGGAAAAATCAAATAAGCAAAATGTTTGCAGTCCACTGATTCTGGATAGGGACTGTGGTAAGGAAAATAAAATTAGAGAACTAGTCCAAGTGTTAGGAACACAAGTCATGAAGAAAAGGAAATCAAGAATTAAGACAAACAGTTCTAGTTTACCATCCTGTGTCTTGGGAAAGCATCAAATAGACTGCATCAGGGACTTAAAGATAAACGTTTATCAAAAATTTTAAAATAAGCATTTTTTAAATATAAGCTCTCATATGTTCAAAACACTTTTGTACGGGATGATAGCAACCATTTACTCCATCACTAAACAATTAAGGGTCCTGGGAATTTAGTCATGTCAAAGTGGTCATTTTTACTACATTTTTTTTTTGACAGGCAGAGTTAGAGAGAGAGAGACAGAGAGAGACAGAGAGAAAGGTCTTCCCTCCATTGGTTCACCCCCAAAATGGTCACTACAGCCGGCGTGCTGCGCCGATCTGAAGCCAGAAGCCAGGCGCTTCCTCCTGGTCTCCCATGCGGGTGCAGGGACCCAAGCACGGACCATCCTCCACTGCCTTCCCGGTCCACAGCTGGACTGGAAGAGGAACAACCGGAACAGAATCCGGTGCCCCAACCGGGACTAGAACCCGGGGTGCCAGCGCTGCAAGCGGAGGATTAGCCTAGTAAGCCGCGGTGCCAGCCCATTTTTACATTATTAACCACAGGGGAAAAGGTAACATTTACAGGTTTTGTAAGATTGGGAAACAAAAAGAAGTCTGGAGTCAAATCAGGGCTGTTAGGAGGACGGTTAATGATTTCTCACTGGAACTCTCATTAAATTTCCCTTATTTTGGCCGGCACCATGGCTCAATAGGCTAATCCTCCACCTAGCAGCGCCAGCACACCAGGTTCTAGTCCCGGTCAGGGCGCCGGATTCTGTCCAGGTTGCCCCTCTTCCAGGCCAGCTCTCTACTATGGCCAGGGAGTGCAGTGGAGGATGGCCCAAGTGCTTGGGCCCTGCACCCCATGGGAGACCAGGAGAAGCACCTGACTCCTGCCTTCGGATCAGCGCGGTGCGCCGGCCGCAGCGCACCAGCCATGGCGGCCATTGGAGGGTGAACCAACGGCAAAAAGGAAGACCTTTCTCTCTGTCTCTCTCACTGTCCACTCTGCCTGTCAAAACAAAAAAAAAAAAATTTCCTTATTTGATGAGAAAAGAATGAGGAGAAGCAATGTCATGTTGGAGAAGGGCTCTGTACTGAAACTTTGTTGGGCATTTTTCTGCTAAGGCTTTAGCTAATTCTCTCTAAACTCTCATAATTAACAATTTTTATCATTTTTGTTCTCCTATAAAAGTCAAGAAAAATGCCTTGAGCATGGCAAAAAAACAAACAAACAAACAAACAAAAAAAAAAAAAACACACAACCTGTAACCACGATCTTTGCTCTTGACAGGGCTACTTGTATCTCTTAATAGTTATTGCTTTGATTGTGTTTTGTCTTCAGGATTATACTGGTAAAGCCATGCTTCATCTCCAATAATAATTATTTGAAGGAATTCTTTGGGATCTTAATCACACTTGTTTAAAGTTTCCATGAAAAACTCTGCTCTTGTCTAACACTGACAGAGGCACAACAGATTTGGTACCTATCAAAAAAAAAGTCTGCTCAATTTCAATTCTTCAGTTGGAATTGTGTAAGCTGAAACCAGTTGAGATGTCTGTGGTGCTGACTACTGTTTCTGCTGTTAATTGTCAGTCCTCCTCAGTTGAAGCTTAAACAAGATCAATATTTTCTTCACAAATTTATATGGATGGTCTGCCACTCAAGGTTTAATCTTCAACACCATCTCATCCGTTCTTAAAATAAGTCATTAATTTGTAAACTGCTAAATTCTGTGGGGCACACTATCACCATAAGCTTTTAGTAAACATCAGTGATTCCACCATTCTTCCACACAAGCTTTTTTAGTTTCATATTTGTTCTTGCTTCAATTTTGGGAGAATTCATGTTGCTCCAACAGGACCTCTTTTCAAACTGATGTCTTATCTTTCTTTGTACCTCAAACCAGATCCTTTTCAGACATGTCATAACAAGTTAGTGTACACGCTGATTGTGAAACAAAAATTTTTTTCAATGCATGCGGTTTTTTTCATATGTATTTTCCATTAACTTTGTGACGAGTCCTCATACAAGTTACAAAAAAAAAAAAGAAGAAATTAAAAGCACAAGCTGAATGACATTAATGCTTAAAGTTGACTTAGAAAGAAAGACACAAAGGGAAACAAGTAAAAGAAGACAGTATAAAAAGATACTATACTCACGGTTAGACTATCTCCCTGACTTGAACATTTCAGAATAATCCTAACCATGTGTATACCTTAGAGAACATATCCATGCATATAACAATTTAGTTTTTCAGATAACTAAATTGTTATCTGAAATTTAAGTAAGCAATTAAGTTGGGATGTGAACTAAGAATAAACAGGGTCTTCAAGAGGTCATTAAGAAGTTCCCTTCAAATAAAAGTCCAATGCTTTTAATAGGTTTTAGTTTCTCAAAGGTACTACAATTCTACTTACTTGATGGGTAACATTTTAATTTGCTTGATGAGTAACACTGCCATCAAAACTTGCTTTATGGTATGAAGAGAAGTTATGGTGTTAGGTATTGAATTGCAGTGTTCCTTAGACCATTATTCTTCAATGCCAACTCAGAGATTGGATTTACCAAGTCACACTGGGAAAAATGACTGTGATATAGTATGTTAACTTCCATAGTAGTTTAACAGTTAAGAGTGGGTTCCAAAGGTATACAATCGAAGTTCAAATCCATTATAGCATTCTCTGTGTGATCATAGATGAGTAAATTTCTCCTACTTCAGCTTCTTAAAGTTGTAAAATAACATTAACAGTTGTCCCTACCACACACAGCTGTGTGAGAACTAAATAATTCTGACAACTAAAATTATTAAAACAATGCCAGGCACCTACTAAGTATTCATAGTAAGTATATACTCATTAGATTAAAATTTCTTGTTATGTAAGATATTGGGCTAGAATTTTATGAAATATAGTAATACACAATAATAAAATCAGTAATAAATAATGTTCATTATGTTCATGGACTTAAAATCAAAGCATAAATAAAAAATGAATTATGTCAAATTATTAGGTCTAGACACCATTAATGACAAAAGGGTTAAATTAATGTCCCATTACAATGCATTCTAAACACTTTATCACTTAGAGGTAAGTCTTCACCTGCCACGGAACCTGTCAGCAGAAGACTATGTACATTTGTGAATATGCATATATAGTAAATGCAAATATAAGTGTATATGCAAGTATGTATATACTGAAATTTATCTGTCCTTATTACTTCTTTGGTTATCCTATAGATTATATCAAATCCAGTCCCTAAAATGGAAGAAGCCAAAAGCCATAGTTTAGAGGAAGATTTCGAAGGACAAGCCACACACACAGGTCAGTGAAGTTAGAAAAAAATGTAATTATTAAGCCAAAACTAAGTGTGGAAATATGTAGTATTCTTTTTTGATACTATTTATCATGGAATTTCAGTAATATTTTCATATAGTCTGATAGAACAATCTAAAAATATTTCAATAAATTAATTTGAAACAGACTCTTAAAGTGGTTTTATCTGATGTCAAACAGCAAGAAAAACACCAACTATTATTTCTTGCTGCCCAAATATCATTAGACCTCTCTGTCTGCGCTATAATTAAACCACTTTCCTCTTTACTTATCCACTCCACCCTCCCAATGAGCTTCCTTTGGTATTTTATAAACAACAGCAGACCAGAGGTAAATAAATGGCCCTTAGTGTTAATTTTTTTGAATCTGAACAAAATAAAGAGAATGATAAAAACATTCTTGAATCAGATGGGTTTCTAAATTCCTTGAAAACACCGAAGACTTCAATTCATTTTCTCCAGAGCCTGTTTTCCTAATCTGTTAAATTTTCTCTGGATAACTCTGTGACATTTCTGAGAGCTCTAAGCTTAAAATCTATGACTTAAATTTTAAAATTCAAATTTCTTTAAGTCTGTTGAATCTTATTTGTCTAGTGGTCCCCTCTCTCTTTTAATAGGGACTAGAGCCTTTATATTTAGCCAGAAGTTTGAATGAATTCATCTAAGTACTAGAAAAGAATGCATAGGTATTCATTTTATAATGAACCATGTGGGGAATATCTTTCTAAATGTAACAAAATCAATGACTATTAAAGACTGATAAATGCAGCTATTTGTTTCTATTTCAGAGAACACTCAGAAGAGATTAGATGGTTTACAAAGATTTTTTCAAAGCCATTTCAGCTTTGCTAACTGAAGAGCAGGCTTCCTTCTCATTGGTTGCCCTGGGTACTATTGTCCTTGTTTCTCCAACCATCCTCGCTTCCTTGATTAACAGTGTAGTGCCAATCTTAGTTTACTATTTCTTCTGCAATAAAAGTGCTCTTTCCTAAAATCTGAGTTGCTTCACTATATTCTAGTTTTTTAATAATTTAAAGTGCATAATTTATATTTTCATTAATGCAGATGTTTCTGAAAGATTCATTACCAAACCTCATTTAGCAAAATTAATGTGGAACAACAATTTTTTATGAGCAGAGCAGTTGGAAATTTCTAGCCAAAACAAGATGTTGGCTTCAGATGCAGAGATGACAAATCTATTCCCATGGCAACATGTATACACATTTCGGTTGTGCAAATAGTTCTTTTAAAATTAAGAAATAATTTTTTAAACTTTTTATTCCAGGACCCAAAGGAGTAATAAATGATTGGAGAAAGTTTAAATTAGAGAGTGAAGACAGTGATTCAGTCCCACCTAGCAAGAAGGAGATTCTCAGGCAAATGTCTTCTCCTCAGAGCAAAGATGACAAGGACGCGAAAGACAGACTGGGGAGGAAGGTGAGATAATGCAAAGTTGATCACAAGCCATTGAGAATACATTGTCTAGTCTGAGTCACACCAAAGAATATACTCAGAATATTACAAAATACAGTGCAGTACTGTTTACACTGGCAAAACCAGAAAATGAACCAAATCCCCATAGAAAACCATTCCATATTAGCATGCAGTTACTAAAGGAATGGATTATAAAAACGAGTTAATTTTAGAGGTCATTTCACAACATGAGAAAGCAAATCACAGAGAATTTTAAATTATATATCTGATGCTATAGAGCAATAAAATGACCTCAGAATATGCATATACAAATATATGGCAGGTGTGTGTATGGAGAGAAACACACAAGGACACTCATCAACTTGACAATATTGGTAATTTGAAAGGATGATATTGGTTGGGAAGTAGAAGGCAGGCAGGATGACCCACAACTCCTTTTTTATAAAAGGTATTAATATTTTTGTACTTTTAAAAACTATCTCAATTACGTTACGTAATATATATTTCTATGTATACTAAGGGATGCCTTAAAACAGGATCTCTAAAGTGTTAGTGAACATTTTCTGAGTATTAGAGTGGCCACATTTCAGTATTTGCTACTTCCTGCTTCAAGCTTTTAGGCCATTTCTGAACCTTTATAATTAGAGTGTATGGTTTATATAATGATGATGACGACAATGACAAAAGAAACCATAGTGATTTTCATTGTGGGGAAAATCAGCTGAGTGGATTGCTTATTTCCCTATCAGCAGGTATGACCTGTGTATTGATTTTTAACAGACTAGATCAGAAGCACGCCTTAGTCCCACGCTTCTGACCATTGGAAAGATCTTCAAGTCACAGATTTTTGGGGAGGCAGTGGCAGAGGTTTGGTTTCTTCACCAACACACTATGTGATGTGGAGAGACAAATTTTCCCATGTGAGGAACTGTAACAACACCTCCCCACTTTGTTTTAAAGAGATATGATGAGAAAATAAATCTGAAAGTGTCTTGAATATGTCAAACACCCATACTATACAAATGTGTGATGTGATGATTACTAAAAGTTTTAAACTAAAATTGAGTTTGGAAATGTATCTGAATGCCTAAGTATTTGTATGCCTGAATATATGAATGAAACAGGTTCATATATGAATGCTCAAATGCATCTCTAAATCAGTATTTGTGTGGTTTGGTATGTGAAATGTCCAGAAGTAGGATAGCAACTTAAAAATTATATAAAACATTTTAACAACATTTAGAGTTAAAACAAGTTAAATTTGGGCTATGATGATAAAATATAAAGAATAAAATAAATAAATAAATAACACATAAGAAGAAGAATGAGGACACTAGGAAGATAAACGTAGGAAGCAGAAACAAGAGAAGGACGCTGAAAGCTTCAGATGCTGTGCTTAATGTAAATCTCAGCATCTTCTGTAAAACGGCTCCTCCCTCAGAGGTTATGGGCTAATATGTAAAATAGTCTATGCAAAGTGCCTAAAACACGGCAGTTCCCCACAAACACTAGTTTCTGGGCTTCTCAATTCTCTACATTACAAACTGACAACACTCGCTGTTTTGAGAGATTACATGATAAGGCAGCCACAGATGACTCAGCTTGGGGCCTCTCCAGCTTCCACGGTTCCAAGTTGTTCCACATTTATTAATCACATTACATCCCATTGCGCCTTTATGTCCTTTTTATTTTTGGTTGGTTGAAGAAGTGCTTAATATTCAGTTGAACACATCAGGAGTGGAGGTAGTGCTATAGTTCAGCTGCAACGAAAACTGTCCCAGAAGATGGGATTCCGCATTTTCTCACTTTTGCCTAAACTAGTGGATAAGAATTACTTGAAGGGCCTGTTAAAACATGGGTTACTAGGCCTCACCCCTACAGGTCCTGATTCAGTTGATCTGGGGCACTGTCCAAACCATCTGCATTCCCAAGTTCCCAAGTGATGCAAATGCAGCTGGGCCTCTTGACTAAATCGAGGAGCATCAGAGCAGGAAAAGCTGTCTTGTACTCAACTTCCATCCTATGCGTTCCAGGAAGTCTGTAACTTACATGATAGAACCCTTTTAACAGCTTTTGTTGAGAGGACACTGATGTCCAGAGGCATTTTCTGGGGCACATTTAAATGTATGTGAATATGTGTACGCGTGTGCTTCTTTTTGTTGAAAGTTACTCCAGAGCAGATCTTGCTGGCTTTTTTCCATGCAAAGTAGTAGTAATTAAGTGGCATATTTCTGACAGACATTGTAAACATCTTGTGGATCAACCACATTCAGCAAGCGTTACATATTCACCAAATCATGAAATGGTCACTGAACTCCAATTATGTACCAGACACCAGGGCAGACAGTAAAGATAAATGAGACCAATAAAACCCCTGCTTCCATGGAGTACAGTTAAAAAGCTATCAGTAAACAAGCAAACACAGGGCCAGCAACGTCGATTGCTCTGAAGGAAGATAAATCTGTATAAAGAATAGAGAGAACGCCGAGGAGAGACTCTCAGGTAGAGTAATCAAGGAGAGTGACATTTGAGTACGAGCTTGAAGGAGACAGAGGAGGACATGTCAGGACTTGAAGAAGGGGTCCAGGTTGAGAGGACGGTAAAGGCCTTGACTTGAGAATGGATTTAGTGTGTGGAAGGAGTACACATTTCTGACTGGACTGTTTCTATTGTTTTTCGCATCTGTTCTCAGATGAGCATTCAAGAATATGAACTGATCCATCAAGACAAAGAGGACGAAAACTGCCTTCGTAGATACCGTAGACAGTGTATGCAGGACATGCACCAGAAGCTGAGTTTTGGGCCTAGATATGGCTTTGTGTATGAGCTGGAAACGGGGGAGCAATTCCTGGAAACCATTGAAAAGGAACAAAAGATAACCACGATCGTCGTTCACATTTACGAAGATGGCATAAAGGGCTGCGACGCTCTCAACAGCAGCTTAACTTGCCTTGCAGCAGAGTACCCGATGGTCAAATTCTGTAAAATAAAAGCTTCCAACACAGGCGCTGGGGACCGCTTTTCCTCAGATGTTCTCCCTACACTGCTCGTCTACAAAGGGGGAGAACTGATAAGCAATTTCATTAGTGTTGCTGAGCAGTTTGCAGAAGAATTTTTTGCAGGGGATGTGGAGTCTTTCCTCAATGAATATGGGTTACTACCTGAGAGAGAGATGCAAGCCCTAGAGCAGACAAATACGGACGAGGACATGGAGTAAGGATTCACTATGTCAATATCTCATATTTACCCTGCACACACTGAATGCTGATTTCAGTAGTATCCATATTCCTTTAGAGAACACCAAGTATGGCCATGCCTGCTCTAATTCAGAAAATAACACTAGTGACACTAAAATTGTGTTATTAGCATTTCTTAGCATTAGTTTATTAAACTAATACAATGTTTTACTACAAAAATATTTTAGTCTTCAGTGATTATTGTCTTTGTTAGCAGACATGGATAATATTGTGACATTCTTAAAAAACTCCTTCAAATTATGTGTTGGCTTTTTTATTCTTTTTTTCTTCAAGATTATTATTATATGTACATTTTAAATTACATTATTAATTTTGCTTGCATAGTAACAATAAAATCTCATGAGGAAATAAAATTTCTTTTTAGTCTCTTGTTTTTCAAGTATTCACAGAAATATAAAGGCCAAAACTCTAAAGTCATCACTAAGTAAAATACTTTATATTTCAAGCAAATCAATGCATAAGAAAACAGAAATATTAGGCTGCATTAAAGTCATAAAAATTTGTATTTGTTAAGGGAGAATGGAGGCAATAATTTTTTTTTTTTTGACAGGCAGAGTGGACAGTGAGAGAGAGACAGAGAGAAAGGTCTTCCTTTGCCGTTGGTTCACCCTCCAATGGCCACCGCGGCCGGCGCACCGTGCTAATCCAAAGGCAGGAGCCAGGTACTTCTCCTGGTCTCCCATGGGGTGCAGGGCTCAAGCACTTGGGCCATCCTCCACTGCACTCCCTGGCCACAGCAGAGAGCTGGCCTGAAAGAGGGGCAACCGGGACAGAATCCGGCACCCTGACCTGGACTAGAACCTGGTGTGCCAATGCCACAAGGCGGAGGATTAACCTAGTGAGCCGCGGCGCCAGCCAAGAATTTTTTAATTATAGTAATTGAAATAATATTTAGCAGTAGCAATTATTACAATGACCACTTATTGATTACCTATTATGGACCAGATGTTATGCCCAACTTCTCTAATTAGTGACTGTAAGTCTACATGTAGATAGTATTATTCCTGTCTTATATACAATGAAACAGACTTAGAGAATGAAATGGATGTTCTACTCCCATTTTCCTTGAGAACATCTGCAAGTCTTTCTTCCTACACAAACACATAGATGTGCAAAATAAAATGTGATTTTAAGCTGTTTTTAAACTAACTGAAGAGCAGGCAGGATAAAAGAATTTCCAAGTGTCTGAATCAGAGTGGAAACAAAATTGATGTGTGAGACCTGGCCTACTGTTGAAGACAACATGCTTCAAAAGCACCAGAAGTGGAGTCCCTGAAAGATACCCACTTAAAGCAGGTTTGCACATTTCCCAATTGGTAGCCCAGGTTTGTCACAAGTTCTAGTCTCTACTCTCCTAAAGGATTATTTTATAGCTTCTCTTCTTTCCTTAAAATTTCTATACCCCTTGATCCCCTCTTAACATTTCAACATTTCACCTTGTTCATATTTCACTGAGAAAACAGAAGTTATCAGTCTTCCCACCACCACATCTGAAACGTGCACCTGTGTGTGAACACTGCACTGCATCATGATAGAGAAAGTGTCCATGCCCCTGTGCTGCGGGGGGTCCTGTCCTTATCCACACAGCAATTTCCTCCCTCCCCAACACTGCAGCATCTCTCCCTCCCTTTCTCCATATTGCATTACTCATACTGACTTATACATGGACTTTTATTGTTCTAAGCTGTGTGTGTGTCTGTGTGCAAATTGTTGAAATCTGTACTTAGTATAGAGTTGGTCTTCTTGTATAAAGTTAATTGAAAATGAATATTAATGGGGAATGGGACTGGGAATGGGAGAGGAGAGGTGGGATGGGAGTGGGGGTGGGAGGGTGGGTATGGTGGGAAGAATCACTATATTCCTAAAATTCTACTTATGAAATTTGTACTCCTTAAATAAAAGATTTCTTTGGGGGGAAAATGAATTTTTAAATAGCCAACTATTTAGAATATTTCAGCCCATGATTTAAAATTGCCAGCCATTATTCCCTTCCCTGCTCTCCCTTAAAATTCCATTTTTCAAAAGAAGTATCTAAGTTCCATCTTTATTCCAACTTCCAATTTTTTTCCTCCCACTCCAATCTGGGCTTTGTGGTGATTTTTTGGTGATTTTTTTTCTCTTTTTCTTTCAATTTTATTTAATAAATATAAATTTCCAAAGTACAGCTTATGGATTACAGTGGCTTCCCCCTTCCCATAACTTCCCTCCCACCCGCTACCCTCCCATCTCCTGCTCACTCTCACATTCCATTCACATCAAGATTCATTTTCAATTCTCTTTATATACAGGAGATTGACTTAGTATATATTAAGTAAAGATTTCAAGTTTGCACCCACACAGAAACATAAAGTGTAAAATACTGTTTCAGTACTAGTTATAGCATTAATTCACATTGAACAACACAATAAGGACAGAGATCCTACATGAGGAGTAAGTGCACAGTGACTCCTGTTGTTGACTTAACAAATTGACACTTTTGTTTATGGCAGCAGTAATCACCTGATAATCTTGTCATGAGTTGCCAAGGCTGTGGAAGCCTTCTGAGTTCGCCAACTTCAATCTTATTTTGACAAGGTCACAGTCAAAGTGGAAGTTCTCTCCTCCCTTCAGAGAAAGGTACCTCCTTCTTTGATGGCCCGTTCTTTCCACTGGGATCTCACTCACAGAGATCTTTAATTTAGTTGTGTTTTGTTTGTTTGTTTTTTGCCAGAGTGTCTTGGCTTTCCATGCCTAAAATACTCTCATGGATTCTTGAGCCAGATCCAAATGCCTTAAGGGCTAATTCTGGGGCCAGAGTGCTGTTTAGGACATCTGCCATTCTATGAGTAAGCTGTGTATCCCGCTTCCCATGGTGGATCGTTCTCTCCCTTTTTTACTCTATCAGTTAGTATTAGCAGACACTAGTCTTGTTTGTGTGATCCCTTTGACTCTTAGACCTATCAGTATGATCAATTGTGAACAGAAATTGATCACTTTGACTAGTAAGATGGCATTGGTACATGCCACCTTGATGGGATTGAATTGGAATCCCCTGGCACGTTTCTAACTCTACCATTTGGGGCAAGTCAGCTTGAGCTTGTCCCAAATTGTACATCTTCTCCCTCTCTTATTCCCACTCTTATATTTAACAGAGATCACTTTTCAGTTAAATTTAAACATGTAAGAATAATTGTGTGTTAATTATAGAGTTCAATCAATAGTATTAAGTAGAACAAAAAAATACTAAAAGGGATAAAGTATTAAGTTGTATATCAACAGTCATGACAAGGGCTGATCAAGTCACTGTTTCTCATAGTATCCCTTTCACTTCAACAGGTCTCCTTTTTGGTGCTTGGTTAGTTGTCACCGATCAGGGAGAACATATATTTGTCCCTTTGGAACTGGCTTATTTCACTCAGCATGATGTTTTCCAGATTCCTCCATTTTGTTACAAATGACCGGATTTCATTGTTTTTTTAGTGCTGTATTCTCTAGAGTACATGTCCCATAACTTCTTCATCCAGTCTACTGTTGATGGGCATTTAGGTTGATTCCAGGTCCTAGCTATTGTGAATTGAGCTGCAATAAACATTAAGGTGCAGACAGCTTTTTTGTTTGCCAATTTAATTTCCCTTGGGTAAATTCCAAGGAGTGGGATGGCTGGGTTGTATGGTAGGGTTATATGCAGGTTTCTGAGGAATCTCCAGACTGACTTCCATAGTGGCTTGACCAGTTTGCATTCCCACCAACAGTGGGTTAGTGTCCCTTTTTCCCCACATCCTCGCCAGCATCTGTTGTTGGTAGATTTCTGAATGTGAGCCATTCTAACCGGGGTGAGGTGAAACCTCATTGTGGTTTTGATTTGCATTTCCCTGATTGCTAGTGATCTTGAACATTTTTTCATGTGCCTGTTGGCCATTTGGATTTCCTCTTTTGACAAATGTCTATTGACAGCTAATCCTCTGCCTGGCGGCGCTAGCACACCAGGTTCTAGTCCCGGTCGGGGCGCCGGATTCTGTCCCAGTTGCCCCTCTTCCAGGCCAGCTCTCTGCTGTGGCCTGGGAGTGCAGTGGAGGATGGCCCAAGTGCTTGGGCCCTGCACCCCATGGGAGACCAGGAGAAGCACCTGGCTCCTGCCTTTGGATAGGCGCGGTGCGCCGGCCACGGCAGCCATTGGAGGGTGAACCAACGGCAAAAGGAAGACCTTTCTTTCTGTCTCTCTCTCACTGTCCACTCTGCCTGTCAAAAAATAAATAAATAAAACTTTAAAAAAGAAAAATGTCTATTGACATGACCTTGGGCCATCTCTTAAGTAGGTTGTTTGTTTTGTTGTTGTGGAGTTTCTTGATCTCTTTGTAGATCCTGGTTATTAATCCTTTATCTGTAGCATAGTTTGCAAATATTTTTTCCCATTATGTCAGTTGCCTCTTCACTCACCTGTTTCTTTTGCTGTTCAGAAACTTCTCAATTTGATGCAATCCCAATTGTTAATTTTGGTTTGACTGCCTGTGCTTCTGGAGTCTTTTCCAAGAAGTCTTTGCCGGTGAGTTCTCTCCCGCACCTTCAGTTTTTCACAGTCTCAGTTTATTAGCTCCACACATTCACTAGGTCCTAACATAATGGGGGTTGTTGGAGGAGAAGTGGGTGGAGACAGTGTGCAGAGGGTTAAGCCATCACCTGTGAAGCCAGGATCCCATATGGTTGCTTGGTCAAGTCCAGGCTGCTCCACTTCCAATACAGCTCCCTGCTAATGTGCCCTGCACCTGTGTGGGAAACCTGGAAGAAGCTCCTGGCTCCTGGCTTCGGTCTAGCCCAGCCCCGCTGTTGCGGCCATTGAGGAGTCAACCAGCAGATGGAAGACTGTCATTGTCATTCTTGTGTGTGTGTGTGTGTGTGTGTGTGTGACTCTGCCTTTCAAATAAATAATAGTTTAAAAAACATGACGACAATTATTGTTCCTTATTTTATTCCCTCTTCTACTAGCATGTAACAGAGTTGACTATTTCATTGTCATTGTTGTTGTTGTTTTTGTTTCTTGGCAACACAAAGCTTGTCTGACTTCTATTCTACTGATTGTTCCTTCTAAGTTCCCTGTGCTGACTTTGCTAAAGCCTTACTCTACGTAGATTTCTCTATTCCATAGTCTGAAATATCATTTTGATTCAGACTACTCTCAAATTCATATGTCCAGCTCTACCTCTTTCTCCAAAATCCTATGTCTGAAGTGGAAGAAGGGAAGAAAAAAGGACAAAAAGAAATGGAAAGAAGAATTTATGCAATTGTACTAGATATTAGTGATACAAAATGGATAAGACAAAATCCTTAATTATGACTAGCTTACATTGACCATTCTCCAACATATGGTCACTGGGTAGTTTTGTTCATGAATCTAAAGCCCCATCCTCTTTTCCTCTTTATAAATTTGGAAAGGCATTTTAAATATACTTTGGCCTATTTGAAAGTTAATGAGAAACAGGTGTATCACATAGAGGAAAACTGCTAGGAGGGGGATAGGCAAGGAATGTTTAAAAATAATCCAATATGTTTTCTCCTACCAAATAACTGCCAACAAGAGTATTAATCCTTTATAGAGTTTTTGCTAATGACTGGACTTTAAAACTATAACATAAAACGGTGTCTCTGTATGAGATAGTTATAATTCAAAAACACAGTAGAACATCTTAAATTGATAATTAATTGTGTGGACTGGAAGTAAACACTTAAAAGGGTAGTGGCAAGGCTGTAAGGTAGGATAATCATAGATCTCAAAAGAGAACAATACTTTAAGAATTTGAAGAATTCAGAATACAATTTTATTGAAAGCTGCAGAGTAGTAAAAACAAATTAGACAGTGAAAGAAAACTCTTATATAAGGAAAAGAAGAATAAAAATGAGTGCTTTGAAAGATTCCTGCTAGAAGAAAGCTTTACTTTTATAAGATATTTCCACCATGCCTTAATTTAGAATAGAGCTAGCAAGATTAAGCAAGATTAAGCCCAGGAATGTATTTAACCCATAATTGTCAAAACAAAAGTAACTAGGTGGCTCCTGTATGGAGAGTAAGTGATGATAGCAACCATCCTCAAAATAAGCACTTGGTGACTAAGGGATGCCAGAGTGAAGCTTTGATCGTAACACTCACCCGTAAGAGTTACACAAAAGGCAGGACTTGACTAGAACATCTGAAGCCACTGCTGCAGAAATCTTGGATGTAAACACTTAATCCACTATTTTATTTGGTAGGAGGAAAGGAATAGTTCATTTTTGTTCAGCAGAAGAATGAAGTTTTAAATGTAAAGGTTTACAATGTTATAACATGTCTCAGAACAAACCACCCAAATAACAACTGGAATAGGCTTGAAAGAAAAGCCAAGAGTGTTGGTTGTAAAATAACAGGAAAATTAGTAAGGAATAGCAAATTTATTTTGTAAGTTGAGAAGCTCATTCATTCATTTGTTCACAGAATATGTACTGATAAGCTGTAATGTACCATGAGTGTCCCTGACCTCTGGGAGCTCACGATGAAGAAAACTGACATTTAAACAAGCAACAGATGATGCATGCATCCGTATTTGTGTGTCTACATATCTGCCGTACAGAGACAGTCAGTATCTCGAGCACTGTTGGCAGACATCTTAGGTTGGAATCCACTTCCTAACTTGGGACCTTGGGTAAAAAAATTAGTTAACCTCTCTGTATCTCTGTTTCCTTGTCTATAAAGGATAATAATGGCAGACTGAGTTGCTGTGGCGGAAAAAAGTAAATCATGCCAACTATTGGGAACAGTACCTGACACTAATTACTCAAATGTTAGTTATTGTGATTTTTAATAGATGTGCATGGGGTCCGGCACAGTGGCGCAGCAGGTTAACACCCTGGACTAAAACGCCGGCATCCCATATTGATGCCGGTTCGAGACCCAGCTGCTCCACTTCCGATTCAGCTCTCTACTGTGGCCTGGGAAAGCAGTAGAAGATGGCCCAAGTCCTTGGGCCCCTGTACCCATGTGAGAGACCCAGAAGTAGCTCCTGGCTCCGGATTGGTGCAGTTCCAGCTGTTGCAGCCAATTGGGGAGTGAACCATCGGATGGAAGACCTCTCTCTCTGCCTCTCCTCTCTCTGTGTAACTCTTTCAAATAAATAAATAAATCTTTAAAAAATAGATATGCATGGAGTTAGATACTACAAATGGATTACAGATGACAGAGTAATGATCATATACTTATCTATTTGAATACATCTAGCAAATTCTTATAATGAAAATTTTATTTTTTTCTCTTTTTCAAATATTCTACAAATGTTTGAGTATCTAACACATATAAGGAATGAGGTTAGATAATGGATAGGGTAATAAAGGTGTATGAGACATAATCATCTTTCTTATGGGAAATTAAATTTCTGAAATTAAAATTAAATTCTGAAATTAATTAAATTTCTGAAATTAAAAAATATAGGGGATATTCTGCTTGCTAATGTTTGAGATCTTACATAGTAGTTCAGTGAAGAAGCTGATACCTGCTCAGGCCCTTCTGATTGGCCAATATACACTCAAAGATCTATCCCATTTTTCTCTTACTGTCACTATCAATGCCCTTTTTGAAATCTTCAGTTTCAGCATACTCTCCTCTGATGACAGCCATTTGCTCTCCCAGTTCTCTGTCCTTTATTCGCAAGACACATGCTCATTAAGGCTACAAATTGTTCAGCTCTGCTTTGTGATGCTGCCTTTTCTCCACTTTCACGGTTTCTGTCCTTACTACGCAGCCTGGATTAACAGGTGACATCAATGACTATCTACAGGCACCTGCCATATTCTCATCCCTTTATTCTTCCTAAGTCCTAATTTTTTTAATCTCCAAACTTCTGATCATTTCAGTTTTCTGTTCCCAAACCACTTTCTGGTAAGTCCTACTCATGAAATAGTAGTTTTCTGCCTGTGATCTTCAGTGGGGTATGTGGCTCATTCAGTAAACAGCTCCCTCTTCCATTTCCCACAGTAGCGTCTCCGAACTGTCACTATTCTCCTTGGTCTCCTCCAAACCTTTTTGTTCTCAATAAATGAAAACACTTTCAATGTCACAGAAGAAACTGAACCCACAGGACATGAATATTCCTAATTCCTTACTCTACATACAGTAACTCATCTATTTTCATTGTGGGAGGTTGATCCTACCATGTGTGCTTTTAACAATATTGTCACATTCAAATCTCACAGCTTTTGTGCTCATATTATATAATTTTAGCATCTCCCTCTATACAGTCATCCCTCTGTGTACATGGTGGATTGCTTCCAGGACCCTCCACAGACACCAAAGTCTGCAGATTCTCAATCTCTTCTATTAAATGGTGTAGTTCCTGAACATAACCTATGCACACCCTACATCTAGATTATTTATAATGCCTACTACAATGTAAATGCTATGTAATCAGTTGTACACAGTATTATTTAGGGAATAATGGCAAAGACAAAAAAGTTAGTACTTGTTTAGTATAGATGCAATATTTTTTTTTGACAGGCAGAGTTAGACAGTGAGGGAGACAGAGAGAAAGGTCTTCCTTCCGTTGTTGGTTCACCCCCCCAAAATGGCCACTACAGTCGGTGTGCTGTGCAGATCTGAAGCCAGGAGCCAGATGCAATATTTTTTAAAAAAATTCTGACCTCGGGTTGGTTGAACCCACATATGTGCAGCTCATTCTTATAGAAAGCCAAGAGTATAAGCATCTTATCCACATCCTAAAAACAAGTTTACATCCTCAATTAAAAACTGTCTCTAGGCCAGCACCGCAGCTCAATAGGCTAATCCTCTGCCTGCGGCGCCGGCACACGGGGTTCAAGTCCTGGTCGGGGCGCTGGATTCTGTCCCAGTTGCCCCTCTTCCAGGCCAGCTCTTTGCTATGGCCCGAGAAGGCAGTGGAGGATGGCCCAAGTGCTTGGGCCCTGCACCCCATGGGAGACCAGGAGAAGCACCTGGCTCCTGGCTTCGGATCAGCGAGGTGCGCCGGCTGCGGCAGCCATTGTGGGGTGAACCAACGGCAAAGGAAGACCTTTCTCTCTGTCTCTTTCACTGTCCACTCTGTCAAAAAAAAAAAAAAAAGAACCGTCTCTGGTTCTTCAAAATTCTCACTAGGTCATCCTCTTTAGCATGTTCCTTCGTTTAATTGACAAACTGCAGGGAAAAAAAAAAGTGTATGTCCTTAATTTTCTCCCCTTTTTGCTGTTTACTTCTCTTCCTGTCAGCCTCAGCTACTCCACTAAAAATGGCGCTGACAAAGATCAGCAACATCTCTATGTCAGGCAGGTCCCTGGCAGGAGACAGACAGCAGACAGCAAAGCTATGACTGAAGGGAGGTAAATGAAGAGTCTAACAAGGGAAGGTTTAGGACAAACAGCAGGACAGAGTGACTACAAACCACAGGCCCTGAGAGGCCCAAGGAAGCTTTAGCTTTTAAGAGAGAAACATTGGCCCTGCCCATCCGTGGCCCGGAAGATAGAGAGCTGGTGTAGTAAATAAGCTGGGCTCCCTCTTACCCTGCTTGCCTATTTTTCCTCAGTCTCTCATTGTCCAAACCAAATGGATGTCAGAGGGCAAGGCATCTCTCCTGATGATCAGCATTGCTTGGACACAAAGCAAGATGGAAAAGTCAGAAAGTGGATCTCGAGAGGCAAACACAGGACACCCACACAATCACCTCACCACAGCACACATCAGACCGACAGTCCACATCTTACATGACCACTCCCAAACTCAGTCTTTCCTCACCTGGCTTTCAGGATACCAGTCCAGATTCTTCTCTGCTTCTGTGACCATTCTTTCTTAGTTATTATCTTCTGACCTTTCTTTCTTGGCCAAGAAAGAAAAAGTGTATTATGAAAAGAACTATCCAGAGATTTTTTTTTAATTTTGCATCAAAATAAACTTATTTTAATTCCATTTTCCATGAACTTTTTGAAGTCCCCTTCTGAAACTCACCACTATTGACATTTTGGGCCAGTTAACTCTTTGTTGTGGGGAGTTGTACTATACATTGTAGGGTCTTAGCAGTATCCCTGGCCTCTGCCCACTAGGTAGCTGCCAGTGGCACTCCTCCCCCAATTATGACAATTAAAACTGTTTTCAGACATGGTCAAGCCAGACATGGTCTTCCGGGAGGTAAAATCACCCCTAATCAAGAATCATTTACCGCTATATACAAATATGTATCATCTGCTTCCTGAGTTACATGTGAATGGGATTTAATTGCCATCAGCAGAGGCAGGCATTGTGGTGCAGCAAATTAAGCTCACATCCCACATCAGAATGCTGGGATCAAGCCCCACCTCTGCTTCCAATCTAGCTTTCAGCTAATGCACTGGGGAGGCAACAGTTGATGGCCCAAGTATTTGGGTTCCTTTCACCCGCAGGGGAAGTCCAAATGGAGTTTCTGGCTCCTAGCTTTAGCCTGGCCCAGCCTGCACTGTAGCAGGCATTTGGAGAGTGAACCAGAAGATGGAAGACCTCTCTCTCTCCACCCTTTTCTCCTCTCTCTGTGTCTCTCCTTCCATTCTTGTCACTCTGCCTTTCAAATAAATAAATAAATCATCAAAAATAATTACCATCATCAGTCACTAGGACTATTGCAAGCATTTCCTGGCTTCACAAGAACACCAGACTGATCTATAACAGATTGTCCAGTGGGTGAGGGAATCCCAAGGCTATCAGCCGCAGAGCTGAAAGTCTTCTTGGAATATCTATAAGACAAATGAAGAGAAGTGGAACTGTACGAATGTTCTGCCTACCTTCCAAAATAGTTGGGGATAAAGACACCCTTCTGATGACCTATGACTTATGGGTGTGAATTAACTATTTACAGAAATACTGGGTCTCCCATTGTAAAGATATTCTTTCAAAAGAACATAAATGCAACAGCAACATTTCTTTAGTCAATATTCAAGACTTTGATCTGTAATTAAAAGTTTTAAACCTTAAAGAGACATAAAGACTACAACAGTATTGACAAATTAAAGATATGCAGCTTTTATTTAAAAAGTTATTATTTTCTAAAACAATTGGACTTCAAAATTTTTAATATAGAATAATTATTTTCCCTTTCTTTTTCAAGATAGGCAATTTTTCAACAACCCTTGTGCCTTAATATGAAAATTTTGAAAATTTATTTAAGAACAAGTACATTTGTATCAGGTAGTTGTTTATATGCCTTGTTATGAAAATAAAATACTTCATGAGTAAGATAAATATTAAATATAAAATTCCTGAAAAAGCATAAAAAGCCAAATACTACATAAGTTTTGTATTATTAAAGAATTTGTGTGAAGGCCATCAGTACTGTGGAACACCAGCTTCGGAGGTCCCAAACACCATCAAGACATTTTTTATAGTGTGTACACAAGCAAATATTCCTTGACGTATGGTGGGGTTACATCCCAAAAACACTTCACAGGCTGAAAACCATAGCTGAAGCGCATCAAGTACATTTAACCTACCAAACACCACAGCTTAGCAACACGGTGCCCTGCAGAATGTCTGTCAGCGTTCCCCTCACCCCGACATGGCTCTCGAGCAGCTGTGCTGCACAGCATCACACTGCAAATCACCAGTCCAGGGAAGATCAAAAGCATGGTTTCTACTGAACACCTATCACTTTCACACCATTATAAATAAAAAACTGTTAAGTTTAATCATCATTAAGTTGGGGACCATCTTATAACAATTTCATAAGTTTCCTCACTTGGAAGAACTGTGGGGACACAAGTGTCCTATCAGGTAAGCAGGGCAGTGTTTTTAATATGTTCTAGTCAAAGATGGAGAAATTGAAGTGTGTGTGGTTAGCTGACTTGTCCAGATTTACGCAAATAAAAAGATGTGGATTCCAACCTAACCTTGGGCCTCCCAGTCCTACTAGCTATGCTTTCTACATTACATCATACTTACCTAGCAGTTACCAACACAAAGAATTCATTAAGAAACGAAGCTGGAATTCTCTATATCTGAATTAATAAACTTCAGATCTGTATGTAAATTCTGCAGGAAAAACAAAACAAAACAAAGTTGCTGGCATCAGTAAATCCAACAACCAGTACAATGGGCTGTTGAAGACAGCAAAACCAGGTTTAGTAATTTCAGTTTTCAATTATGGATTTTTATTATTTGGGCATAACAACTGAAAAAAGCATTAAATTTGATCTTTACTGAAACTCTCAGCCATACCATAACAATTTCAAAAGTCTGTTTATCTTTCAGGGATTTTTTTGCCAATATACAAGAAAATATTCATAAAAATTCATTTTTCATAAAACCAAGTATTTCATCCCAGTCTGTTTTCTCAAAGTGTTCATTCCCTTCTCTCAATCCTATAGCCAATACTAGCTTGATTTAATTATCTCAAAAAACAATTGCTTATTTTTAAATGTTTCCATCTATTCATTGCTGACAATACATAATTATCTCCCCTACAGGAATCCTATTCTGACAAATTGGATGCCCTTTCAACAAACAATGATACGGGCTGGCGCAGTGCATAGAGTGTAAAGCTGCAGCCTGCAGTGCCAGCATCCCACATGGGCACCAGTTTGAGTCCTGGCTGCTCCACTTACGATTCAGCTCTCTGCTATGGCCTGGGGAAGCAGTAGAAGATGTGTGTCCTAAAATATGTACAGTAAAAATTGATAGAACACAGAAACTGCCCATCTACCACCAGAAATTTCAGGACAGTTCTTTCCATCTATGTGATAACAAGTAACAAAAACTAGTGTCTATGTGAGTATTGACCATATAAAAGCTTGAAGTAAATGAATGGCATATATAAAACGCTATAACCAATAATTAGTGAAATAACCACTTTTTTCCCCTCTAAAACACAAGGAATATTTTCAGAAGTTAATAATAAAGGAGGACACTATAACACATCACATTTTAGCGCCATAATGCAATTAAGTACAAATAATATGCATATTTGTTATTAATAACAAATAAATACATACCCCTCAATAATTTGTTAAAACTGAAAATTTTAAAAAACATTTATAAAAACTTCTGTGACACAGCAAAAAGAAAAACATTATTTAAAACACAAATTAAGAAATGGGTATTTGGCTTAGCAGTTAAGATGCCAGTTGAGATGTCTGTGAAATAAATTGTAGAGCCTGAGTTCCAATATTGACTGTGGCTCCTAACTCTAGCTGACTCATGCTAACGCAGACAGATTCTAAGGAGGATTCTAAGGAGTAGCAGAAACTTGATGGCTCAAGTCATTGAGTTCTTGCCTCCCATGAGAGACTGGCATTTGAGTTCCCAGATCTCAGCTTCAGCTGGCCAAGCTCAAGCTATTTATGGGCATTCAGAAGAGTAAACTGGAGTTCTCTGTATCTCTATCTATCTCTATCTCCATCATCTCTATCTCTATCTTTATTTCTATCTGTATCTCAAAATTCAGGGTGCTCAAATAAGTAAATAAAAATTTTTTAAATGTCTAAAAAACATAAATTACAAAAGAAGACTTAAAATAAGTGTCCTGGGTGTCTAACTTCCAAAGTTAGGAAAATAAGATAAACCAACAAAATTTTAAAAATGAAGAAATAAGCCGGCGCCGTGGCTCAATAGGCTAATCCTCCACCTTGCGGCGCCGGCACACCGGGTTCGAGTCCCGGTTGGGGCGCCGGATTCTGTCCCGGTTGCCCCTCTTCCAGGCCAGCTCTCTGCTATGGCCAGGGAGTGCAGTGGAGGATGGCCCAGGTGCTTGGGCCCTGCACCCCATGGGAGACCAGGAAAAGCACCTGGCTCCTGGCTCCTGCCAGGATCAGCGCGGTGCGCCGGCTGCAGCGGCGGCCATTGGAGGGTGAACCAACGGCAAAAAGGAAGACCTTTCTCTCTCTGTCTCTCTCTCACTGTCCACTCTGCCTGTCAATAAAAACAAACAAACAAAAAAAAAATGAGAAATAAATATAAGCATAAATCAATGATATATAACTTGATAGGCAGATTCCACAATGCCAAAGGTGGGTCTTTAAAAGACTAAAAGAGTAGAGAAATACCTGCTAGATTGATGGGGCATAGTGAAGGTAGGAGTGGGAGAGGAGAGATGTAAATAAACATAAGGAATGGCCAGCGCCACGGCTTACTAGGCTAATCATCCGCCTTGCGGCGCCAGCACATCGGGTTCTAGTCCCAGTCGGGGTGCCGGATTCTGTCCCAGTTGCCCCTCTTCCAGGCCAGCTCTCTGCTATGGCCAGGGAGTGCAGTGGAGGATGGCCCAAGTGCTTGGGCCCTGAACCCCATGGGAGACCAGGAGAAGCACCCGGTTCCTGCCTTCGGATCGGCGCAGTGCCCCGACCACGGCGGCCATTGGAGGGTGAACCAACAGCAAAAAGGAAGACCTTTCTCTCTGTCTCTCTCTCTCACTGTCCACTCTGCGTGTCAAAATAAATAAATAAATAAACAAACAAACATAAGGAATTTAAAAAATATATGCACAGATGAAGGTGAGACTAAAAAATGAAGATACATTATAAGCAACTTAACACCAACAAACTTGAAAATAGACAATGTGGGATATTTTCTAGAAAAATACAACCATACTAATTTAAGAAAAAAAGAAATTCTGAGACTAGAAAAGAAACCAGAACAGAACATTTTAAAATACTACTTCCCAAAAAATACATCTAGATGTATTCAAAAGTTAATTCTATCAAGCTGATAAGAAATAAATCATTTTGTAAAGTGTTGTTCAGAGAACAAAAACAATAATCACAGCTCATTACTAAACTTGCATAACTGTGGGGCCAGTGCTGTAGGGCAGAGGATTAGGCTGACATCTGCAGCACTGGCATCCTACATGGGCACCAGTTCAAGTCCCAGCTGCTCCACTTCCGATTCAACTCCCTGCTAATGGCCTGGAAAAGCAGATGGCCCCATTGCTTCAGTGCTTGCACCCATGTGGGAGACCTAGAAGAACCTCCTGGTTCCTAGCTTGGGCCTGGGCCAGCCTTGGCTATTGTGGTCATTTGGGGAGTGAACCAGCAGGTAAGATCTCTCTCTTCTCCTCCCCTCCCCTCCCCTCCCCTCTCTTCCTGTCCTGTCCTCTCCTCTCTTCTCCTCCCCTCCCCTCCCCTCTCCTCTCTTCTCTTCTCTTCTCTCTCTTTCAAACAAGTAAGTAAATCTTTGAACTAGTATAATCTTGATACCAAAACTGGGAAATGACAGACTAATGTCACTTCTGATACAGATGCCAAGATTCTAAATAAAATATTAGCAAATAAAATGCAACACTTTATGTAAAAGATGAAACCTGACCAAGTTGGATTTATTGCAGGAATACAAGGCCACAGCTACAGTTTGTGTTCCTCCTCTAGTAGTGATGTCTTTTGCTGCTGGCAGCACTGCCTAGGCCCCCTCCAAGAGCAGCTACCCAAAGCTTTCACAAATGCAGTAACTACTCTCTCAGACTACATGAGCCAAATCGTCTGTCCATCATGCGCAGAAACCAACCATCTCAACTACAATGAGACTAAAGCAGCCCTGATTCTTAACCTTGCACTTCTTTATCACAGCATCCAACATGCAAGCTTTCCTGCCACCCCTTCTCTGCCCCTTCCCACAACCTGCTCCTTGCCCATTCCCAGTTAGCCCTTTGCCATAAAACTCTGCTGAGCCCTAATCCCCATCACAATCTGCAATGCCAAGCTCTCTGAAATCAGCACATTTCCCGTAATTTTTACCGTTTTCTCTGAGGATTCCTTCCATAGTTCTACCATAACTAAAACCCGGCTCTTCAAAGAAAGTACATTTTTTTCCCTTTAATAGCTTTCAAATGGTGACTGTGTATTATTTCACTCTGAACACTCTCCCTTGCCATGGATCATTATTCCCACGGACTCTATAAAGATCTTTTGTATATTTAAGGCTCATGCTATTTGTGTGTAGCACTTTCTTCTCACCTTATGTCAACTCTTGGCCAATAGCTCCCTTGCTTTAGAGTCCAATTTCCCATCTCTGAGGAATCTTACACTCATATGTTCTTAGTTCTGTACAGTCATCCTCTCTTACTTCTACATGATTGTTTCATCCTTATCATTCGCTTTAATATGTATATGCCAACAGCCAGTAGGTATAGCAAGTCCCTTTCCTGAACTTCAGCTTCTCAATTGTTAAAGGTCTGATAAAAGTGAAATTACTTTGTAAATTATAAAGCAACATTTAATAAGATTTAACATTGTTAGAATTCATTCCAAGCTAAAGATCAAGAGAATTAACTGACTTCCCAAGGGTTTATTATATCTTATTTGGCAGACCTAGGGATATAACTCAAATATCCATAATTAATAATTAAAAACTTGAAATATTTTCAGTAATGCTACCTTGAAAGCACAGAAAAATTTTACTAAAACGTTTAACTATTTTTGTTCAGAGAAATACTGCAATCTATCATCTCAGCTTATTGACATTCAGAATTTTAATCACAGGGTTAGGCATCTGGTGTATCTAAACGAAATTGGATTTGACTAAAATAGAACATAAGACCTGATTAAACTACCTTCATCCCTATCATTAAGATCTCCTTCACAATTATGTAAACGAAATATCTCCTCAACACACTGAACAAACCAAGTGAAGGAGATTTTTTTCCTAAAATGTCACATTTTTTAACTAAGAAGTTTTCTACAGGGCTCTTTTGAAATCAGAATTTCAGAAGTTCCATGGTATAGTAAAAAAAATAGCTTTATTTGATGGCTCTAAGTATATTTTTAAGATGTTTTTCAAACATGAAAAAATAAGGAGTAATATATTCTGATTATTGAGACAAAAATAATTACTGGTTCATATATCTACCGTTCTTAACTATATGTGCTTCTGGATAATACTTAATGAGTATTTCAATCCTATCCATCAAATTTGAATCTACTTAATAAAACTTTGCTCTGCTTACAATGTATTATATAAATGCAATGGGATAATGAACATGAAGACACTTCTAAAATGGCAAAAGCAGAAACAAATTATCACTTTTACTCACCTTTTATCCTTTGTCCTTCATAATTACTAAGTGAAAACCGATTAACATTAGTTTACTTTTGTGTAAAGATTATAAACTTTGTAAGAACTCAGTGCATATTTATTAGCATACTTGATTTTCCCAGTGTATCAGCATAAAGATAAAATGAAGGACAATTTGTACAAATTTATTGTGTATTACTTTAGACAAACTTAATGAAGTTCCTTTTAATGGAATTCAACCATGATGTTCATATTGTGAGAAATGCATGCACATGTTGTACAGTCATGTGAGGGGGAATCAGATAAACTGTTAAACTTGTGGACAAGCAGAAGTCTCAGTCAACATGTGGCACAGAAGTATCTCCCAGCTAAGTCAGCAGATTTCCATCTATCCACAGAATCATGCAATTTAATGATTATGGAAAGCCACTACATTTTGAGGTTGTTCTAGAGTACAATTAGCCAAAATAGAAAATGGTACCAAGAAGTAGGATTCTCCAGGCACAAACTCAGAATATGTAGCCTTAACTTTGGAAGTGAGTAGGATATGGGAAGCTTTAGGGCTTTCTGGAAACAGTGGTAGCCAGAAGAATGGGGAGGAAATTAAAAGGCAACCCTTGTTATGAAAGGCAACACTTCAGATCTGCTAGAATGTAAAAGGCAAAGCCAATTAGTTTGTGGAAATTGCTTAAGAGATAAACTAATAAGTTTGCTTATCCAGTTAATCCTGAAAATGTCAATTGACTTTCTATGATCAAACAAGAGAAGAGAAAAATGAACTAAAGAAATCGTTTCATGTTGGAGCAAAATTTATAAGAGCTATAAATGTCCAGAACATCTTTTCCCTGAAAAAAGACAAACCTGAGGGCAAAGACTAAACCCAGGGAGTTCCTAATCATAGAATATAAGGATGCAACTGTAATACTCTCTTAAGACCTCAGAAATATGTAAGTTAGTAGCTTACGGATCTCATAGGTAAAGACTTTTAAGAATCTTATAGACACAGTTTGCAAATCACTCAGCTAGACAATGAATAGATACGTTTCTTAGGAGTATTGTTCCTCAACTACTGACTCCTAGATCAAAGCAGACTTTTGAAGATCCATAGGTTTGGCTACACTGGAATGTATTACAATTCAATTCAAAGGAAACAAGAGATGTCTTAAAAGGAATTACGTCATCTTAACTAAAGGGATAGACTCAGTTTAAAAATGAAGACACTCTGACCCCTGACCTTCATAAAATACAAAGCAGTTTGGGGGCCGGTGCTGGGTTGTAGTGGGTAAAGCTGCTGCCAGCAGTGCCGGCATCCCATATGGGCACTGGTTCAAAACCCTGCTGCTCCTCTTCCGATCCAGCTCTCTGCTATGGCCAGGGAAAGCAGTGGAAAATGGCCCAAGGCCTTGGGCCCTTGAACCCTTGTGGGAGACCCGGAAGAAACTCCTTTCCTGGTTTCAGATCAGTGCAGCTCTGGCCCTTGTGGCCAACTGGGGAGTGAACCAACGGATGGAAGACACCCCTCTCTGTCTGTCTCTCTCTGCCTCTCCTTCTGTATGACTTTCAAATAAATCAATCTTAAAAAAAAAGAGAAAGCAGTTTGACAAAAACTAATTTTTCAAGGAAAAAAATTTGACAAAAAGTCAAAATCCTTCTATACCCAATTTGCTTAAGGTTTTCATCATGAAAGGATGTTGTGTTTTATAAAATGCTTTTTATGCATCTATTGAGATAATCATATAGTTTTGTTCTTCAGTTTGTTAATGGGATGTATCACATTAATTGATTTGCAAATGTTAAATCATTCCTGCATGCCAGGGATAAATCCAACTTGGTCTAGGTGAATGATCTTTCTGATATGCTGTTGGATCTGATTAGCTAGTATTTTGTTGAGGATTT